GAGAGGGATGAATAGCTTTAGACGGTTGGATTAGGGTCCCAATTCCGTAGGACGTTAAAAGTAACAGAGTTGCCGTGATGTATCGGAAGGTACATTATTACTATTACGCTAAATGCTGGGACAACCTTAGGTTCACCCGTACAGGGGTGCTCCCAGCCCATCTTCGGCAGATTACGCCAAGCGGGTACTGTTCTATTTTCTTCCCTGAGGCGGGAAGAGGGTGGACGGGCAGAGCTCTTAGATAAACTTCAGCTTATTGAATTTGTCTATCTTTGGAAAGGTTTATCAGCAGGTAACCTTGCCACCGGCCCCAAGGGGACCCTAGAGACTGTACGCGAAAGGTCGGTTCGAGCGACGATCAAGGAGCAGTCCGACCCCTGCCGAGAGGCATGGCGGGTCCTAACCTACTTCACCTGTTATAGATTAAAGGTGGGATCAACAGTATGAGCTGCTGGTATATTCTTATTGCTCAGAATCTCTCCGTTGTTAGAGTACAGTGACACGCTTCTTGTGTTAGTGATTTGGATCGGTTCTCTGACGGCGCTATTCGCGGCTACGTCGGCCCTTTTCCAAAATGACCTAAAACGGGTGATTGCCTATTCAACTTGTAGTCAGCTAGGTATGCTGCTAGTGTCCTGCGGTCTGATGAAGGCCTATGATGCGCCCGTTCGGGCGCTACATAAAATACCTCTATATGCTGGAAGGCCGATACTTATTGGTTACAAGACCCTGTAAGAAACAAACAGGGTGATGAGGCTAATCAGCAGGTGACTTCTCATACTCACCTCAGAGACTATACGGGGTATTGCACCCAAAGGGCGCAAAAGATATAGTCCACCTTCCTCACTAACCTGCCCTATTTACACTTCGTTTGTTCGTTTCGGGTTATATCTTTATTGGCCCACAAAGGCTAGGTTGCTGTATGTAGGTCAAACTGGTTCTCATAGTATAAAGAAAGTTATCGCTATATGGAGACAATATATCAAGACGTATTACACCTCAATTGGTGTAACCAAAAGATATAATTCTCTGTCTAAACATCTTCGCCGTTTATGCAATGTTTGTATTAAATTGTCTTTACAATAATTCTCATAATGATTCTATCATAATTTTTAATTATTATATGACTATACAAAAAAAGCCTTCTCTATGTATTTTGTCACTGGTAGATCAAATTGCAGTTGATCTTGGCAAAAAAATCAGAATGGCAGCTGAAGATTGGAAGTTTGACGTTCGCTTTTTTTTTTTTTTTTTTGTACTATATTACAGTCTCCTGACAATTGTATTAGTATTCCGCAATTAATAAAATACATGAAAAATCCAATTTTCGAAAATCTCTACCGACCAAGCAAAATAACAATTTTTTGTATCATCTGAAAGTTAATTAGTTTATTTTTCGGTAAAAGTAATGCTATATTTAAAAACTTATTGTCATAAAGTTGTAGTTGATTATACAGATTGGTCATTTTGCTTAGTAGATACAGTCGGTAGAGATTTTCGAAAATTGGATTTTCATATGTTTTACTGATTGCGGAATACTAATACAATTGTCAGGGGATTGTAGTCGTCTTTCTACCTGCACCCTTTGCCTTTAGAGAGGCGCTACAGGAGCAAGTTAAGATACGTAATGGTATTTATTTTATAGATCCTACATTGTCTTAATTCGGTTTTACTATAAGATAATATTTTTTTTAACCTTTTATAAACTAAGGTGAGCCTGTAAACAGTCTCGTCAGTAAGCTTATTTTCACGAGTTTCTGTCGACTCATATATAACACAGCGTTGTTCATTAACGTTTGATTTATTTAATTCATTGTTCTACTTGATTTCGTTGTCGTACTGCTTACGATAGTCGACAGAGCTTCAATCGGTGGTTAAGTTATCATGCGCAGTTTTAGACTAGGACGATTTGAAAGGAGCTCAGTGCTGATTTAATAAATAAGAATCTATCATTTTGTATATTTGTTTATTTAGTGTAGGCATTTCTCTGAGAACCGATAGTATTTCGATATTACGAGCATATCGAACAATTTAAATCCGAGCGACGCCAAATTGTCAAGAAATTATGTGAAGGTAGTAACCTAAGATATTGCGAAAGTTAAATACCAAGGTCTTATATACAGTATTAGCTCTTTTGTATACACAGTAAAACTCGATATAACGGAGGCTACGGTTCTGACCCTTTTCTCTGTTAAATCGAGAGATTCGCTAAATCGAGTTTTCACAATATACAGGATATCATAACAAATCATGTTGTATCAAGTAATTTGCAACTTTATTGGACGATGTTCAATTAATATATTTAATATTTGTTTATCTTAAACCATGAAGGCTTACAATTATTTATGTCGCTAGATTTAAACTATACCATACAAGTGAATTTATTTCTTTATCTGTTAGCTGTCAGGGAAGTGAAATGAACCGAACCCATAGCGGATATCGCTTAGTACGTAGATTTTTCATGGAACAAATCCAATCATAATAAAATTGTCTTGATATACCGGACTTTGTTAGTAATCTCTCGATAAAGCCTATAACGGATGCTAACCAAAAAGTACTATATGCCACTTCTATCAAAAAATATACTTGATATAACGGATATCATATTATACCAGAGTCCGTAATAAAATTTCTAACCAGCCAATCAAATTGTACCAATTTATTGGTTAAACCAATGATGCAATTGTAGGACTCGATAATTTGGGTCCGGTTCGTTTCACCGACATAAATTTCATCGAAAACCAATGATAAGTGCGATAAACAATTTGTCACGTGAAATGACTGTCGGTGAAGTGTACTGTCCGGTGGAATGATTGTCGATAAAATAAATGCCTCCCCAGCTGGGTAGCAACAAACGGTATGTTCATAGAGTGTGAAAACATTGTCACTACGGAATTGGTACATATGAGCGTTTTTCTAAGTTAAGTTGGTTTTTCGCAGGCATGGCTGGTTATTCTTTTGAAATCTAAGTATATACATAACATTCGTTCGACTCATTATATTAAAATCATTGCAAAGTGTCGCCTATGGCAGGCATTCTTATCACCAAAGTCAGTTGATCCTGGTACAATATACCGGAATTCGTAAATCAAATTCGAAAATTGACCGACAATGATCTATTTAAACTGCTCTTTCGAGGGATAATTTTTATATGTTTATTATCATAATCTTAATCTTTCGTGAATAATAAATAAGAGCCTTATTATGAAAGATTTGAGGGAAGCAGTATATTCATATAGACTTATTTGGTAATAAATAATAGAGGTTACCATTTTCGATTCTCTTCTACGCGTGCAGAACATTGCGAATTAAATAGTGTAGAAGAATCATAACTTGTTCTTTGCTTTGATATCGATGACAATGCCTGGTGTGAATGCTCCACATAATTTTCTTGTGTTCAAAATGTCAATTTCTTAATGCACACAACTGAAATGTTGAAAAAGTTTACAACGTATTGAAATCTTACTCGCTGTGCATTCGAAAACAAAATAACATGTCAATCAATTTATTTCTATATTCTAATTATACGCAGCTGCTCATTGCTCATTATTCTATATATGTAGCTAGTTTAATAATAAATCAGCTTAATCAATGATTTCATAAGCTGAACTCTATCAAACATATAAGCATTAAGCCGCAAATAAGCGACCAGAAATTGGCGTCAATTATTTCATAATCCACCGGGGTTATTGTTACCGTTGGTTGGTCCTTTGGGAACAGAAGTAGAAAAAAGAGGAACACACCTCGCAAATTTGTGGCAATGCTCTACGTGGCGACCACCCCTCTTGTTGAAGTTACTTAGTAATCGATGTTTTTTGTTAGATATGAAAGTTTGGTAAATGCGAGATAACATAAGTTTATAATATTAGTAGTAGTATAAACATTTACTAATTCCTCAAAACATTGAAAATTTTCTCTCTCTCTCTTTATCTAATCTTGATATGACATTCACCTTTTATTGATTGGGAGTGGTATCGACACAATGACAGTTGCAAGTGCAATAACGGCGATGGCGATAAAAATTAAGCAAAGAAGCTTGGTCATTTTATTGTATATTAAAAAGATGTCTTGGATCTTGGAGCAGATGCGTATTTAATGTGTCAAAAAAAAACAAACGATAAGACCAAGTAGCAAAGAATGTGAGATTTTGGTATGTGTATTATTGACTGAGACCAGCTCGAAAGTTGTTGATGTCTACCGCGAGTATTTGACAGCATATTTATACTTGATAATTGTGCTTTTTTGACCTAATAATTGGAATGGCGGACAACTAAATATAGTAGTACTCCCGACAGTTTACATTATCTCATAGACCTACTCAATGAATGAGAGTTGTAAAACAATCTTTTATTACTAATCAAAATTTCTAAAACTCTTTCTCATACTTTTTGTGTTGACAATGTTTTCTATTCGTACGTTAGTGTTAGCTGTTAGTCATATGAAAGCGGACGGGCAATGTGGAAAATAACAACATGATTAATAAGTCACAAATACATAGTAATAGTCAACCTCGTTAATCCAAAGTCAACGGGATAGAGGCTTAAGTTCGGATTAACGGCGTCTTTGGATTAACGAGTTTTGTTCTCAAACTTGCCATTGATATTCGGTTTACAACTTAGGTTTTTCCTATTATCACAATGTACACAAAATGGGGTATAAACGCTTCCACTGATTATGTCATCTCGCTCTGAGGTGCGCAAAACTCGATATGTAATTGTCGCTTACTTTGAATTTCAAGTATTTTAACATTCGATGTAACTCTCTGAGATCAGCTACAAGGCGATATGATTGATGTCGAATTTGTTGCATATTCTTGTCTAATAAATAATCGATGCTTTCATTGGCTAATGCAAACGAAATTGGTTTTTCATTCTCGTATTCTTTTGATTTTTCAACGCCTGTGACAATTTTTCTTTTGTCTTTTTGGCTTCGGGTTTATGATCAGAAATAAATTCAAAGAGAGAATTAAGTTTTATAAGGTGATGAGATTTTTCGGATTAACAAGGTTGACTGCGTATACAGTCAACCTCCCATACAGTCACACCCTCGGGAATGACCAAAACCAGTGACTATAAGGAGGGGTGACTGTATGGGAGGTCGAC